GTTCAATTTAAAACCAATTCCCCAGCAAAACCCATAATCTTTAACTTCATTAAAATTCATTCTCATTCAGATGTGGCAAAGCAGAGCCCATGAATCATGATTAGTGAAAGCAGAGGGCCAGAGAAGAGATAATTAATTTCTCTCTCCTGTTCAAAAGGCTGCGCTGCCCTCGCTCAGTGGAGGATTTGTGCCCTTTAGACAAAAGGCTGACAAGTGTCACCTGTTAATCTTCTCTGTGTGCGGCTGTTTGTCAGCACGAGATGGTCCTGCCGCAGTCCCGGTCCCCAGGGCACTGCTGGTTATGACAGTTGCTATTTGCAAGTCAGCTGCGAAATGCTCTCACTTTATTCCTCCAGCTATTTTTAGCACTTCTTTTTAGATTGCAATAAAAAAAAATACATCTCATATTGGTGATAACCAGGTTGTAACAATTTCTCCCCTTAAGGGAGAGGCATGTTTGGCGATGGGAGAGGAAGGGCTTTCCAGGGTCACACCAGTGCATGTGAAACCCACCTGCTAGCTGTCACCTAAGGCGGAGCTGCCACTGTCACCTGCGGCAGATCCCTTTGGGAGCGCGTATCCCTTCGGGAGCACATCTCCCCGCCAGCACAGCCAGTGTGCGATGGTTCAGCTGGAGAGCTGGTTGCTGAATCAAGGGCATGTGAGAAACGGCTCGGTTTCTTCAGAGGTCAGGCAGGACAGGTCTGCTGAGCGTGCAGCATGTGGCAGAGTGGCAGGGGAGGGCTCTTGGGAGCACCAGGGCTGCGTTTAAAGACCTGAAAGAAGTCACAGTGGTCCCTGGAGCTCTTTCCCTCCCTGCTTCAGCTGCAGGAAGAGCAAGTGAATGGGGAAGGTCTGTCTCACCGATCTCAGAATCACACCGTACACGGCCCCCTCACCTTGGCATCCCAGCTTCTTTCCGAGCACTTGACAGACAGAGCTCACTGAGCTGGATTTGAGCATCCTAAATTTAGCGGATGCAGCTAAATGGTTCCTGCTGTTTTTAATTCACATTCATACTAAATTTCTGCTGTTTTATTTTCCCCTTCCCTCTCCTCTCAAGGGAGAAGCAATGGCTTTCTTGGAGGTAGCTTATGATTTTTCCAGACAGAAATTGTTTCCATTGCAGGGTTATTGGCAATACCCAAATATATGTCCAGGAATCGGTCAAAGCCAAGGAGCCTGATTTAGAGCTGCTGCTTCTAACGTCTAATAAAGCAGCACTGCAAAAGGTCAGCCTCTGTGCAACGTAGCAGCCAGTCCCACCAGCTAATGGCATAATCTATTAAAGAATTAATTCTCTACATCTTCCCTTCCCAGTCAAATATAACAACAACAGGGAACGTTAACTGTCTAACCTAATATTGAGTTTCATATAGTGCTAGTAAACCTATTAACTGAGGCTATTATCCAAACTGCCGGAGTCTTGACCTTGGCCTGTGTTTTTAAGTGGGTTTTCGCCGTTCCTCTCGAGATCAGCCTCGGTGCTACAAAGCAGCAGCAGCTTCATTCGAGCAGCAGCTCCACTGCTCTCCTTGCGAGGGTCCATGCTTGCAGCACAGCCCTGGTGTCCCTGCAGCAATGTCCTGCCCTCTCGCTGTAATCTGCACTGAGGAGCGTTCATCGTTTCGAGGTTGTGCCGAGCCCTCTGACTTCTGAATCTGTGTGGAGATAACAGCAACGTTTGCTTTACTGTAAACGCTTCCAGTTGCTGTTGGTTCACCTTTAGCCCAACAGCTCTTGTTCTTGTGCTTTTTAACGCTGTTCTTCATGCTCTCCTGCTGTTTTGCTCCGTATTATTGATGTAGGCTGCAGCATTGGCTGCTCCATTAGCAGGTGCTTTTATTTTCTCCTGAGCTGCCCCAGCTGTTGGGCAAAGCCTTTGCTAGCAGCGTTGCCCAAAGGAGGGGTGAGCTGGTGTGTGAGAGCACGGGTGGTTTCTCTCCACGCACGTATCAAGCACAGACAAATACTTGGCATCAGCCTTTTGACGTGATTCTCTCCCCAGCAGGTAAGGGGAAATGGTTTCCTGTGGCAGGTTTTGTGAATTACTTTGCGTATTCAGGGGCCAGAAGGGTCTCTCTTCTTTGCTGTTCCACAGCAAGTGGAGTTTCTTTGGGTGGTCTCCCAGCTTTGTGTCCCCACTGCAGTAACGAGGCTGGACTTCACCCCGGAGAGGGATTGCTCCGAGACCTGGTTCTGGGTGTGTTGCAGGCTCTCGCAGTGCTAGGCTTCGCTCAGTCCTGGGTTTCCCCTCCGCTGTCCTGGTCCTAGCCATCTTGTTAATGAGCCCAAGCATCTGTTTTGAGCATAGCAGTGGACATTGCCCTGACAGCTGTGAGTTGTCTTGCCAGCTTTTTATTTACGTGCTCGTTCAGGTCACATACTCCCCGGGGTAGGAGTGAGACCCGAGCTCGGCCCATTTATCTTCCATGGATTGAAGAGAATAAAGAAAACATTTACCTTTTGGCTGATGGTCCATTCATCTCCTGCTGAATCTTATGTCTTTGTCAGGTCTCCTTTTTCTTGAACTATTTTGGGTTCTCTAAGCACTAGTTTTCATCCTTTTTTGACTCTATGGGCAGCTCAAAATGCCTGAGCCAGCAGGCTCGAGGAGTCTCACTGGTCCTCGTGTGCACCAGGACTCACTTCTTCCCTCCTTGTATGGGCAAATTGTGAGCCTGATAAAGCCCGTCTGGCTCCGGGCTCCCCCTTCCCCTGCTTTCCCCATCACGTGTCTCTGTCCCTGCAGTTTTAACAGCCCTGGGGATGTCTGTGTCTGCACAGTCTGTCCTCGGCAGCCTTGCTACACATCCAGCATCCCTGCCCTGGTCCTGTGCTTGGGGCGCTGTTCCCCGGAGAGGTCTGCCCCATCGGGGCCAGGAGATGCCAGCTGGGTGATGGGGCAGGAGTTGCGTACCCACAGGGAGCAGAGTGTGGTCCCGCACTGCCTCTGCCCCCGGGATGGACGGTGGCACTGAGGATGCGCCTTGTGCATCTGAGGAGTTGGTGACGCTGAAAACTGAAAAAAAGACTTAAGCCTTCTCTGCAATTAATGCCAATTATAAATCCCGCTGTTTCTGTTGTACCTCTGTTGTTTGTGCAAACAGTGGATGCAGGGTGAAAAAACACCAAACCAGGGAAAATCCACCCCGTGCCAGAGCCCCTCCCAAGCTTGTCTTCCAGGACGCCAAGGCACCCTCCTCCCTTGTCCCTTTTCACAAAGGTGACATTTGTAAAGAGCTCAAGGGCAGGTTTTTCCATGCTGAAGGCTCAGCAGCTCCCTGTGTAGCAGCGATAACCAGGTTTCTCAAAGAGCTGGGTCAGCGCAGAGGGGAGGTGCAGTGCTCGGTGGAAAAGTCTGGCCATTTAATTCGGTACCTCCGTCGCAGTATGCTGAGCCACCCTGTGAACCTGTCATGAGAATGTGCTAGTGACACATCCTCTTCAGTCCCATGCGTGGCGAGATGCTGAGGTGTGTGTGCTGGTTTCCTCATTCCTCATATGAATAAATAAATATTCTCGTGGGGCTGAGACCAGGTCTGCAAATAGCTAATGAGAGCTGAAATCCCAACCTGAAATTAACGCTCTTCTGGATGAATAGGGTTTAAAAAAAATTTCTTTTTTTTTAATCTCTTTTACATGTAATTGGCATGCAGGGGGGAATCAATGAATCTTTGTGGCTGACTCAGGCTGCGTGAGAGCCTGTGGTCCCCAGCCCGCCCCACAGGCAGGGTTCCTCTCCAGCTTTGCTTGTACTGAACATGCAGCCTCCTCACGGCATCCTTTCTGAGAAACGAATTTGGGGCAGCAGGGAGCTGTGTCATGATGTGGGTAATTGTCCCCCGCCAAGGACGTTTGGAAAAGCGCAGGAGGTTCGTAATTGTGCCTGACTTCGGCATGCAGCAGCTTCCCCGGAGGCAGAGTGCAAAACCCAGCGCGGTAGCGTGGGTACCCTGGTACAAAGCTCCTGATGTGTGTTTCAGCAGCTGTGTTTCGGTTTGGCAGATGCCTGTAGGACAAAAGTTGGTGTTGAATGGTGGCCTCAAGCCTCCTCCTTAACCATTCGCAGCAAGTGGGGCAGCAGGTTTTCCCACAACCTGTGATACAGCTGTGTAAATCAGGGTACAACTGGGTAAGCCTTGATTTGTATCAGTGTACCACAGGGTTCGACCCTTTTGCGTTGCTTCACCCATGTCCAGTGCAGTGACCAGCACCTGTAGCCATGCCAGCGACCAGCCTCAGGTGCCTGGTGAATAGATTTGGCAGCTGTTTTTTCCCCTGACAGTTTTTGTTTTGCTGCAGTGGCTGCGGCAAAGGCATTGCTGGTGTTTGAGAGTGTTGTCCCTTTAGCCTTGCACCAGTGTTCAGGTCCTTTTCACGATCGCTTCAGGCCCGGTCGTGGAAGCAGGTATGAAAACCACATGGTGGATGTGATGGGTGCTTCTGGTGTTGAGCAGTAGGAAATGGGGTCCTCTGGTCAAGAAGGAGATCCACTGCTCTGTGCGTGTGTGAGAAATAAATAGGGAATTGAGTCCCAAGGGGATTGATGCCAGCACCCCTCATCTCACTTTTAACTGCTGCTCTAGATGCATTATTTCCTCCCCAAAAATGAGGATTGGGAAGGGACAGCTAACGAGAGATCCTGTAAGATATGCCAGGAAGCTGCTTAGATTATAATGCTGCCTAGAAGAATTGACGGGCTGCATATGAACCTGAGATGGCAGAGATTTTCCCTTACGGACAATTAGTTATAGATAAATAAGTATTAACCAACTGGTGACTGCAACCATTACAGGTTTGGGTTTTTTTTTGTATGAGGAAAGGGATTTTAAATGGATTCCATGTAACTAAACTGCCTGGAAATCGGCGAGTTTTGCAAGGGAAAACGGCTTCTGTAGATGTCATTAATTTCAAAGAGATATTAAATCTGGTTCTTTAGTTACTGGGTTGCTTTAAAATGCAAATGAACCACTTGCCAAAATCAATTTCTTTTGCAGCTTGAATTTCAGTGGAGTCCATCTGGCATCTGCTGGGCAGTTTAGTGACTTCCTGGGGAGCATGGGCCCTGCACAATTTGTTGGGCGTCAGACCTTGGCCACCACCTCGATGGGTAAGGAACACGAAGATGTTAGGTGACTTTAAATTAATCTTGAACAGACCGCTCCTACAAACCACCTAATAATGTGTCCAGCATCTGCTGATCTACCACTCCCCCGCTCCGTTTCTCTGTTAAATCAAATAAGCTTGGCTGAAAGGTTTAGCTGATTGCTGCAAATGCAGCATTAGTAGGAGAGCGCCAGCTTTATGCTTTCCTCCATCAGATCTGAAAGGCATAGACTAAGTAAAACACAGCTAAAATCCTGAAAATGCATCCTGTGTATCCTCGTGTTTTTCTTGCTCTCTAAGGCCCACCGAGCTCTGTAAAGATTTTCTTATGGTCCACCATAATTGCATTTTCCAAAGCAGCCTGCAATTCTAGGTGCTTCAGTTTGGGAGAGATGAGAGGCTAGCTGCCACTGAAGAGTATGAGACTGAGTCGCCAAAGCCATGTTAAAGGACTGACATTAGAGACTGCTTTTGAAAATGTGGGCTTGAATCACTGCAGAGCTGCTCCAGAGTAACACAGGAGGAGATCAGGCACTCAGAGCCTACGGTTTGTTAGAGCTTGTAGCAGGCATGACATGAAGATTGTTTGTTTTTTGTTTTTTGTTTTTTAACATTTTAGTAGCCCACAGATGTATAGTTTTGAAAGTCTTCTGTCTATTTTGACATTTTGGTTTAGGGGATGTGGAAATTGGCTTGCAAGAGCGAAATGGGCAGCTAGAAGTGGATATCATTCAGGCTCGAGGACTGACACCAAAACCCGGCTCCAAAACACTGCCAGGTAGTATGCTTTGACCCCCCAAAGTAATTCACTGAGCCCCAGCCTCCTGCGATGCTTGTGAATAGGAAAAATTTTAATTCTGCTTGGCTTCTGCAGGAATAAAGCAGTCTGTATTCAGTATTGAAAATAAGGCTGGTTGAGCAAATCTTTTCACTGCTGTAAATGCCTTCTTTAGAAATACCTGAGACATGGCACTCTGTCTTTTCTAAAGTGAGCATGAAGATTTTTTCATATTTGACCATATTTATTTTTTCCAGCTGCTTACATCAAAGCTTACCTGCTAGAGAATGGCGTGTGCATTGCGAAAAAGAAGACAAAAGTGGCTCGCAAATCATTAGACCCTTTGTACAATCAGGTGTTACTGTTTGCTGAGAGCCCCCAGGGCAAAGTATTACAGGTAAGACGAGCAAGTCTCAGGTCTGCCCATCTCTCTTCCACCTCTGCTGGAAGATACTAAGTCTGGCAAGGGATCTGGATAATTAATGTAGATGAGAAAAAGCCGGTGTTTTCATTGAACCAAATGCACTTGATCTGAACGTAACAAATGGAAAGGAGAACCTCTTTTCCATACTCAAACTGATTATTATTTGACACCCTGCCAGGTAACATGAGTGCCTACCAGGAAAAGGTTGATTTTTACTTTTTTAATTCTTTTTTTCCCGCCCAGTTAGGAGATAGGTAGTACCTATAGATGCTAAACAATCTTGCGGCATAGCTTGTCTTCTGTGTTTATATGTATTCAGAGCACTCTGCTTTGGCCATCACCCAATCGCATATCCTACCTCTTTCTACCTCTTTTCTTTTACTGCCGTACATTTTCTGCCATACTCATATTTTCAATTCTGCACCTATGTTTCCAGAGCAAAGAGTGATTTGCATTGTTACTTCATTTCCATCCAATAAAGCCTGGCTAAAATCCACTGGTAATACTGATGTAATTAATCCATGAGTTTCTATTGCTTACCTCCACTGGCATATGAATTGCCAGCTAACCTGCTGGATCCTTCTCGTTAGTGAACTCTTCCTCATTTACCTTGATTGAAAGCATTTTCCCCTGTTGCAACGAGACTGCACATTTTTGACTGAAATGGGGTGGGATCTGGCCTGGTCTGCTCTTGCCTTGCATTGGTTTCCTTACCTGCTGCCTTGCTGCCAGGAAAGACGCTTATTCCAAGCCAATAAAATGAGGACCTTGGCTCTCTGCCAGCGGCCGTGCCACCAAACCAACTTTCTGCAGTGGCTTGCTCCATCTCATGCTGACCTAGAGTGTTAGTTTTTGTCTTTTAATTGACATTCATTGTCTCTCCTACCTCATTTTACAGAAAATTGTAATGTTCTGGTTATTCGGAGCCTAGGGAAAGAAGCTGTCAGGATTAGCCAGAGATCACTAGTCACCGTCATAACACATCGTACTCATCCTCTCCTCTTCAGAAGATGGACTCGCTCTGGAGTCAGTCGTCACCTTTGTCTTGAGCCACATAGGGCCACTCGGTCATGTGCAGACCTCCTGCATGCCTAAGCCCATGACCCTCCCTACATCTGTTGTTCCACCCACTGGTCTCTCCATCGTGTTGTAAGTGTGATTCAGCTTTTCCTGCTCGTCTGCCAGCTCTCTTTCATTAGACCTTCCTCTGCGTCTGCAAGTCTTTCTCGGCAGTCTGTTCTGCTTCCCCTGCATGCCACTCCATGTGTGCCCCTTACGTCACCGGTCCCGCTTGCCAGCGCTCGGCTCCTGCCCTTTCTCCAGGTGAGTAGCCATGCCTCGTCACCATCTGCCCTGTGTCACAAGCTCCGAGTGGAGAAGTTAAGACATGCTCTTTTCCTCAAACTGTTGGCTCTTGACCCAAGCTATTGCCCACCTTTTTTTTTTTTTTTTTTTTTTGGTGGTGTATTTTTCCAGGTCAGGAGCCCTTCCTGCCCTTTTCCCACAGGCCACCTTTTGTTGTGTCCAAGGTCCGTTGCTGTGCCAGGACCAGGTTTTACGTGCAGGTGTTGGAGCTGCAGCTCCAGGGATACTTTGTGCACACGCTGGTCCTGCCCAGCAGGTAGAACAGCAGAATGGTGTCTCATCCGCACATGCATTCACCTCTTCTCCGTGGGGGCGTGGCAGGAAAAGTCTGATAACATTAGGAGTTGTAAAACTGTGCTTAAAAAAAAAAAGTAAAATCATCAGCCAGAGCTTCACGTCACCTGTTGCTACTGTAAACCTTTCTGCTCTTCTCGAACTGTAGTAAAGCCCCGGGAAGTTGGATGAGTAGAAAGAAGGATTGATCAGACTTGTGCTTCCCAAGCAAGTGTGCAAGTTGGAGGATTAACTGTGCTCCCCCCTCTTGTTCCTAAGGTGATAGTCTGGGGAAACTATGGACGCATGGAGCGCAAGCACTTCATGGGAGTCGCCAGGGTCCTCCTGGAAGAACTGGATTTGTCAACTTTAGCAATCGGCTGGTACAAGCTCTTCCCAACCTCCTCGATGGTAGATCCCACTACAGGCCCACTCCTGCGTCAGTCCTCACAGCTTTCCCTGGAGAGCACAGTGGGACCCTGCTGCGACAGGTCTTAGTGAGTAAGGAAGGGGGAACTGCTTTTGTTTTTTAAACATGCTGTCAAGGTTTTGTTTGCTGGAACTCTGACCTCAAGTGCAATGCATGTTCAATCAGTTCTTGTGGAGCTGGAAGAGGAGGATAAACCAGTGACCTTAGACAGAAGATGAGGGGGAGGGCGCTGTGCCCTCTCCGTCCGAGGAGGAGGTGCCGTGGGGCATGAGTCCTAGTTGTCAAATTAGACATACACCTCTTGTTTCACTTCTCTCGCTGTCATTCTTGGACCCTTGTTTCAGATAGTATTAACCCTGGAAAGTTGCAGTGTTTGAAAGCATTTGGGGGGAGTAAGGAGGGTATTTTTCTTAACTGTGCATCTTAGAAATTTCTAATACGGAATCTTTCACGAGAAAGTACCTGAAAAATTCAGAGGCTGATATCTGACCTAAAAAGAGCAGGAGCAGAAAGTTTCAGAGGAAGCATTAGGTTTTTTATAAGGTCTTTCTTCTTGAAAGGAAGAAAAAGAAAGAAACCTGCAACTCTTTCTTTAGAATCAGTTCCACATCACTGAGTCATATTAACTGTAACACTGTCGTCGCTGTGTTTTCAAACTGTGCCAAATTACCAGCAAGTGTCTTTACTGCATTACTTGTCTAACACTGCTGATGAAGCATACTTGGTGGGAGAATAAGTAGCGCCTACTTAGACCAGACAGTTTGAACAGAGTTTGAGTTTAGCAGGCCAATTAACTGCAATTTTGCTCAGAAAAAAACCTAGCACTAGAAGTGGGAGCTGAACATCAGACTTGCAGCTTGAGATATGTTTTGTATTGTCAGATACAACATTCTGCAATTTACTGACTCCCTTACTTGTTGCTGTGCATCCTTCCATCACGATGTCTTCTATCTCCTGCTTTTCTTCCATCTCCTTTGTACTGGTACATATCTGCTGGAGGTGCTGCCCTTCCCGTTGTGCTATGGACTGACCTGAAACAGGACTGTTTTATTCTGCCACGGGAGAGGAGATTGAGGTTTCTGGGGGCGCGGAAGAAAGAAACCTCGGTTTTTCATCTGACAAGAAGGTGCTGGAGAGCATGTAACCTTCCTTGTGGAGAAAAAGGTGCTTTAGACAGTAGTGGTAGTACAAAAACCTTGTCAAGTGTCCTGAAAGAGGAGATGCAATCCCCAAAGTATGGAGAGGGTAGTGGGTGAGGAATCTGAAGACGCTGTGGTCACAGCATGTCTATTTTGTTAACTAAGTGCAGCACTAACTGTAAACGAGTCTGGTAGATTAAGCCAGTAAAGCACATTCTCTGAGCTGCTGAGCTACAGCAGCTGTTGTCAGCAGAGTCATGTGCTGGAGTAAGTGCGCTACATCCTTCAGAGAGTTAAAACCTTATTATCCAAAATCACAGAGAATCTCCAAAGATTTTCTGTTGATAGACCTGTTTTGGCTAGGTTTTGTCTTCGTTCCTAATGAGGATTTGATGACTGCTGTGTCAGAATAAGCTTTTGGAGGTGTTTTACTTTGTGATTTAAAAGTGAAGGTCCCATGTGACGTTTCGGAATGAGCGGATTCTTGACCTGTTGTAGGCATACTGAACATTTATTTCTGCATGTGGACCTCAGCTTTGTTAGAATAAAAGCATGAGTGTTGAGTGGATGGCAAAAGCAGTTGCTTTTGGTCCTAGCTTGTCTATGGCATTTTAAGTTATTTTGAGATAAATTACAGGATAGATGGAAAAATAATAGGCCTTACAATAATCTCTGTAAAAAATTATATAATATAAAGGAGAGGGAAGGAGGATAAGGGACATAGATTGAATGGTTTTTGAGTCTTCAGTGGCAAAGTGTCAACATTTCAGATAAATCTCTTAATTTCCTTGATCAAATACGTGTCTGGCCTCTCACTAATTATTTTTTCTAATCGTATTAGACAACTTCTATATATTAGCTGAAGAAAGTTTGTTGCATGCTGGTCAAACTATGTTGTGGCGCTCTCTTTTATTTTTATTTTTTAAAAAAGCACATTTACTGTAATTCAAGTCAGCATCTTTTCCTCTTGGTATGTAGTGAGTACTAGGCAATATTGTACAATACGTGTATGAACTAGAATAGATTAGGTAGATTTAGTGGTTTGTAGCACTGGATCTTTTAATAACTATGTCTTTAAAAGGACCGTGGGGAGCTCCAGGTACATGCCAGACCTGGCAGCTGAGTAACAGGGCTTCTGTGTTAAGTTACGCCGAAAACTTTATATTGGTACTTAGTTTGGACATTATCTACCAGTAATAGCTAGTTAATCATGGTTTTCCTGTGTCCAATAAGATGAATGCAACATTTTTGCAGTCTTTAATGAGGAGTAGGAGACTATATATGCCAAAAATATTCCCCCAGAACACTTTTTTTAATGACTGTCTGTTGAAAAGCTCAGTTCCTGTATGCCTGGCAAATGTGTCTCTGTATCCTACCCCTCCAAAAGCTCTGCAAGCTCAGTGATGATCGGTTTAGTTACAATAGGACTACTTAACACTGAGGACTATCTTCCGTATGTTTTTAATAAAGCTAAAAGGTCACTGTCAGGGTGTAAAAAAAAAAAGTTACAGTTCTACTTGTGTTATTTTTGTTAACGTCTCAGATTCTGAAATTTGGAGGCAGTTTAAACAGTCTGCTCCGTCCTGTTTTCTTCTGCATTTTTTACGTGGTTGATTGTAGTCCAGTGGTTCTCACTTTTGTTTCTACTCACTTCCAAGTCCTGTTTCTCCCCAGTAAGCGAACGTTGCAACCCCTGGCTGCCACGCACAGTGAAGTCACGTGAACTAGCAAGTGCAGATGATCGTCCTTTGTAAAGCAGACTCACAGGAGCCCTTCTGAGAGTGCCCACGGGGCGCAGAGTGAGGCCAGGAGAGTTGCACGGTACCCTACAGTCTAAATTCTTGCTTCACTCATGCCCATGACTCCTGCACTGACCATGGTGTGTTATAGTTAAAAAAGAAGTCTTCTAGTTACCCATCAATTTAAAGACTCCCAGTATAGCATCCAAGGCAAGTCTCAGGTTTGGAATAGCTTATTTTCATAAAGCCTAACCTTTTTCTTTCCCCTCAAATTTGACTTGCCAGTTTCTGTCTAAGGTGACGTGATACGACAGTTGGGATTACCAGTGTGGTCGTGTAAAAAGTAGCAGTTTGCTAGAGTGATGAGCAGCTGAAGACTAAACTTTGGTCCCCCTTGCAAGTCCTGACTGAGTTTTTTTCCTGTGTCTGAGTCTAGCTGTTAGTTATAGTCAGGGAGGGGGAGAGAGAGGAAGAGCAGGAGACTTTTTAAAAAAAAAAAAAAAGGCATCATAGTATTTTTGGTCTGTGAGCGATGATGAGGGATGAGACTGAGGAGAGAGAAATACCTCCTCAGCTCAGGGTCGAGTCCCTGTTCCTTGTGCATGAAATACTACATTTTAACAGTAGTGGGAGGATTGCTTGCCAAAAAAGAAATGGAGAACCGGTCCCTAAATGTTACCTGCATTACTATTACCATGGAAAACAAAGAAATCCTGATGCTGAGAGCATCCCTGAGAGCAGAATGATCTCTCCCCAGTGGGAATCCCCTGCACACAGGGAGAGCAGAGCAGTGAAACCATGCCTCACACGCAGCTTTGTCCTCTTTGTGGTCCGAGCAAAAAGCAGCCCTGACCGTGGTTAGTCCTGGTTTGTTCAGGCAAGAAATGAGATATTTTCCCAGTCTCCTGGTGTTGCTTTCCCTTTGCCCCAACACAGCTGGGATGCCACAGAGCCAACACAAGGTCCTCACTCTGCGATTCAATCCATGGGTCCTCATCCTGCAGCCGAAGCCACGTGGGCAGGCTGGAGCACCCCTTTCGCACTGCGTGCGGGCATCTGTGTCCGCGGGCAGAGTAAGGGCCAGATGACTTTATTGTTTAGCCAAGTACATCCCCGCTTCTTGGCCATGGATTGTTTCAAAGAACATTGCAGAATTATTTGCTTTGAATGAAAATATATATTTATTGTTGCTAGCTACCGGATCCTTTATCAATGTACTGTTCTAAATTTGCAGGTCTTCTGGAGTATGAATATCACAAGTTCCTGTAAAGGAGCTATTTTTAAGATGTTGAGGCAGTTAACAGAATCTCAACCTAAGCATGTTTAGTAATGTTTAGACAGCAAGACAACTTTTTTATGAAACTCATTTTAAGTTAGTTTATTACATGCTGTTGGTAATATTTTAAAACAGGAAAAATATTTTTCTTTAAAGACAAAATGATGTATGTTTTTTAACAGATAACATAATTTAGTGTTTTCAAAAATGTTTAATGTTCTTGGTATGAAGTTTACTCATTCTTTTGATTTCTATGTTCCTTGTTATATTTTATCAACTTTTTTCCAAAAGAAAAGAGGCATATGTAAATAAACACCAGAAAAGAGTCCTATAATAAATTCTGTTCAAACTGGCCATAAAATTATTAGTAAATATTTGTTATCAGTCATTAACTCTCAGCTACTATTCAAGCCTTTGTTGAAAGAATTGATGTTGTATTTTCAAGATGAAAACTACTTAGCTAGTTTTGTCATAATCCTGTACTCTGTATAAAAATCTTTTTATAAAGAAAGTCTAATAGGCTAACAAGCAATAATATATTCCATTTGGTGTGCACAGATTGTGACTTGCAGGCTGTAATCCATATTGTTGATACAGTTTATAATTGTCTTCAATCTCAATGACATCACTTTTGAAAAAGATCCATATTAACTTTGATTGTAAAAAAACGAAGACTGGGCTGTTGCCTTGTGAGATATATTCATCCTATAGACTTCTCTGTGAGTATATGTGCCCATCGACATGAAATCTCTCTTGG